CATTTTCTTTTGTCAGTAGTACCGATGTTGCTTGGTTGCAGACGGTGTTAGATATTGTAATTCTGAGCATCGTCCGACCTTTATCACAGGATTTGCATTGTAAATGGAATCATCTCGTTTCAATTATGCAATTAATTTCTACATATTGAAATGCATAAGAATTTAAATAAAGTTCAGACATTTTTAAAGAGCATTCCATTTTCTTCTCGCATTGATCCTTTCACAAGTATCATAGCCGCATGAATACTAATTTGAACTAAGTTAAACATACAATTTTGAAGAAGCAATGATATACAAGAGTTACATAGGACAACTATCGAAAATTTCAGAAACTTTCTTGGATGCGTTTCCTGCACGTATGTGCACAAGTGCTTCACCGTAAAAATTTTAAAACTGCTAAGTAAAGCGTAGACGATCGAACTTATACGTGATTAAACTCACTTAAACACGATTCATTAATACCGTGAGAAATTGGTGTCTGATATATCTAATGGTAACGAGATTTGAAACAATTCCCGCTGTTCATTACGTCGCGAAACTTACAGATTTTTATTGGTTTCTTTGGGATTCTTAAATCGATCGTAGAGATGGAAAGAATTGATACGGCCGTACTTGAGCTCTCGTATCAGATAACCATTCAGATATATGTCGGGGGTTGAGGGTAGCAAAAGAGTTCTATATATACTTTCGTGGAACTTGCTCCCGACCGACATACTGAGCTTTATACCTATACGTTTACACAAACGCACACGTCGCATACCTATCTACTCGCACTCGCGGAATGCAATACAGCACGGTTGCGATCACGAGATATTTTGATTCCTTTCTCAGCACCTAATCTATAATCTATCACGAATAACGATATATAATATTTCTGATCTACACAATTGACAAAGTCAATTTAAATACCCACGCATTACTTCATAAGCAAGCAAACAAACGATAAAATAATAATAGGTATATTTCTTTTCATTTCAATTACCTACGTATAAAATAATAGTTTAAATATTTCAAATGTGTTAAAGTATTATTATTAATGCATAGACTTTAGTACAAAATTTCTTCTGCATATATAAATTACACTTTAACAAATCTTACTTAAAAAAAAAATAATATTCTCTCTTCATTATATTCTTTTTAATAATAACAAATTATTTCTAGCTAGTTACATATATTGCTAATATATGTACAACTTTCGAATATTTAAATGCAATTATATTCTCAGTAGTGTTTATATTTTAATTAAAAAATTTCTTTTACATACGTCATTCTTTCCTTTTATCACGGATAATTTGAAAGGACTTACATATTGCGTATATAGCAAGTAAAACTTGTGCATTCAAGAACCGAAGGAGTCGCGACAAAGAAGAGTTCGAGTGTATATTAAAAACCAAGAAGATCAAAATCAGGCATACCGAGAACACGCCATGGAGTCGCGCGGGATTTTATCCCAGTCACGTGTTACTCAGCCTTAACCAGCCGATCTGTCAGTCAAGCAGACGAAGCAGTCGTCAGACTGGCAGTCGGTGACACGTTTGGTACAGGGTTCGGTGCAAATACACGCGCACTCCGCGTTCTATTAAGAGCGAGGCACGAAAAGGCTAGACGACACGAGGTGACATCGAGATGGGTGACACGACATGGCCCTGCGCTTAGCCCGCCTCAGTCTTACAACGTCGACAACTATGCGCACCTCTTCGGCCCGCACATCTCTCATTGCGTGATAGACGCGCTGAACGTTTTTATTTCAATCTTTATCTGTGTGCTCGCTAAAGCTGCTTGTGCGTCTCGATGAGAAACTCAAGGACCTTACATCACTAACTTAATCGTGATTGTATGGATAACTTGTAAAGAAATGCGTTTAATTTTATTATAGCGACATTGACTATTGCTTGGGGATTAAAACATTAAGTAATTTATTAGATAATATACAGGTGAGGGAAAAGACACAGAAGATATATAATAATATCTTTTTATGTATCTTTTCTAATTTATCATGTAAATTTGGATATTTAAGATGATTTAATTACTGATTCTTGATAATTACAACGGCTAATTATACTGCAGAAAATAAGATAAATAACATAGCGTGATCGATTGGCTAATAACGCAATTGATTGTCGATAACGAGGCAATTTTACAGAATTTCGAAATATATAATGTTGCTCGATTGGCTCTTGTATATAACTAATTACTTACTCTTTTAGTTATGTAAGTAATAAATTTATAATCTCTTTCCGATCAATTATTTCCTGAAGAAAGTAAAATTATAAGAAAATCTTCCGCATTTCCCATGGGAGTGGATTGACAAATGAATGTACGAAGTGCTCTCATTGCATCTGCTTAAGATTCAATGCGATTACGAAATTTATTACCAAGAGATATATAACGCAAGTCATGCGTATGATTACGGAAATTCGAGTTACAATAACATATTGGCTCGTACTCCCCTCGATGCTTTAGAATTTATAGTGCGAGAATAACTACTAAGATCGCGCCAGATAGAATCTAAATGCTAATTAAACAGGTGTGCCTGACATGCGTGAAATTTAATCGGGTCAGCGATTACCGCGGTACTTTAATGCATCAAAAGGTATGGTCACTAAAAATAATAAATCATGGGTACATCGAAGATAAAATAATATTCAGCGATTTAATACACATACACACACACATACACACATGCACATACAATTATATCATTCTAAGATTATTACTCCTGCGCATGTTCTTTAGGGATGATAAAAACTCCGAACCTGTTATAGACATCAAGCAAAGCGTTGTGAGCGTATCGAGATCTCTCTTGTGGTATTAGTTGGAAGAATTAACATGGCGCGCCTAAGAAACATATTTCAATCGCATATGAGCATCGTAGAGAGCTTTCTCACCAGCCTTCACCGAGTACATTCCTTCACACACCAACGTATATTCGTATATTGTATGGATGTCGGTGAAATACCAATAGCACAATTTATTACCGAAAGAACGAGAATGCATGTTTCAAAAAAGCATCTATTCTTATAGTGTATGTAGTATTTTATGATAATTTTATTTAACAAAACAGAAAGAAGAGAAAAAGATGTATGTAATTATATTTACAATGTTACCGAGAATGCAGATATACAATAATAAGACAATAAAATAAATTAAAAGAACTTCGATAATCGTGTGATAGTAAACTTAATATAAAAATCAAAAAGTATATAAGCTCACGAATTGTGAAGAATAAAAGAACTGAAGAAATTTTGCAATTCTCATTACTAAATTATTTTTAGTTAGCGAACTGGAGTATTCTATAATAATGCGAGTGACCGAAAAAGGAATTCCGTTTGTCTGTTACAAAACGGGTAGGTTCACCGGATAAACGATATGCAGACCGAACGAGTCCGTGTCCAGACAACCAGAACACTATTTATTAAAAAGTCAGGCCACACGACCCAGCGACGTGTTACATCGGGAGGAAAGCGATAACACCGGACGAAGGGTCCTGTCATTAAGCCCGGTAGGAGCTTCGTTGTTCAACGCTCACTGGTTGCCATCCTCTGCGAAAACGCTTTTCACTCTCGTGAAAGTGCCCAGTCCATGCTGCTCAGAGCCGTGGAATGAATCTTTAAACGTACTGTTATCAATGTTATGTGCGTAAACGCTCGAAATACTGGATAATTATACACATGCAAAAGAGCTATATATTCTGAACAATGGGAAATATTTATTCGCATTCTTTTTCTTGTTCTTCTTCTTCTTCAACTTATCATACATTTCATTATCTTGCATTTTTCCTCGTATGCATACACAATCAGTACGAGTCAGCAGAGATTTATTTAAATCGCTCATTTATTGCGCGATTATTGCTACTCGTACTTTCTACTGTCAGTTGCATCTTTACATATTTGTACGACTCTCGTCAATTTTTCCTTCTTGACCTGCGCTATTACTGGCTGTTTATAGCTGTAAACGAGCCGGCTCTTTAATATCCGCGATGATGATCCGTGCTCACAACGAACCTGAAGATATATACGAACGAACCCTTGTTCACGTAACACCTGCTGAAGCAACGAACCGAAGCAACGAAGCCTATATTAGTGCCGCGAAGGGAAAGGGTAGAAAATATTAGTATATCGAAATATAAACATAGAAATATGATACAGGTGCTATATGGAATTTATACGAATATTTTCAACAATAAGATTGTAAAGCAATGATTGACCGTCTGCGTCAAAATTATGATACATAAGACGTATTTATTATTTTATCCTTTTAATTTCTAGTGAATGATATTATGTTTTTTTTTTCTATTTGACGCAACACTGTCATAAATTACCATCTCAGATAAAAAAAAAAACAATTTACATAACGGTATATTGTATTAAATTATGATTGCATCAATTTGATATAATGATGATTCATGCGACGATTATATACCATATTTCAAATGACATTGAAGCTAAGTCAAAGCTCATTTCTGGCGTTGTTCTGTGCAGTCAGTGGCAATTTTTGCAAAGGAAGTAGGTGTAACAGGCGGAGTATCGTAATAATAGCGTTGCAAAATTATTTATGGCCAAGGCGTGCAAAGCAAATAGGTAAAACAGCTGGCAAGTTGACCAGTTCGCAATCCACAGTAGCACTGGCGGAGGCATTAACCACAACTCGTTGAAATAATTAATGAGATCGTCACGCGTTGCACGCGCTCGGACCTTCAGTAATATGCATCGCCCGTGCTTTTTATTCAATCTTTCGCACTTTTCCACTCGTAACCCTGTCCGCGATAAGATCCGCGGCTGAAAAAAAACGCGATTTATTTTAAACATTACATTTCATATATGTAAATTACTATTTGAAGATATTTGATACGCGCAACGTTAATTTAGAAGGAATAAATGTAACAATCTATCTCTCTCGATCGGTCTTATCTCTTTATCAGTTTCTTTTAATAAACCCCTATTTATGCCATCTACATTTGTGTTCGTCTCACGAAATGACGAAAAATTCTTTATTTCTAGGCACGGTGAACGCGAACGGTGAGACGAAACGACAAAGGACCTCGTACACCAGGTATCAGACGTTGGAGCTGGAGAAAGAGTTTCACTTCAACCGCTATCTGACGAGGCGGCGTCGCATTGAGATCGCGCATGCTCTCTGTCTTACGGAACGTCAGATAAAGATCTGGTTCCAGAATCGGCGTATGAAGTGGAAGAAGGAGCACAAGATGGCGAGCATGAACATCGTGCCGTACCACATGTCGCCGTATGGGCACCCTTACCAGTTCGCGCCCCACCCCGGCCAGTTCGCTCACTTGGCCACATAGGACGAGTTCTCGCCCGCCGAGCTCGGAGCACACGCTGTCCGGTTCCCCGGGATGTACGGCGAGCAGAACTTCTAAAAGGCTTTTTTCCGCCTTAGATCCCGCGCTACGTCACGACGCTGTCACTTGTGACTTGGCGGGGTCGAGGAGGGACTTCACTTCCAGTAGGACACGTGGTGCGTTCCGCTGATTCCGTAAATGCGCCGATGGTTGGATTGTCGACAGAGGGGAGCGAGAGATCGTATCCTTCTTTCGTGTGTCAACGTACTTAAATTATTTACGCGTTTATTCTGCTTAGCTATCGGAAGGAGAGCTCCATCGAGGAGATATAGAAGAGAGAAAAATTGTTCCCTTCCTGAAGCTGAGCACAAACAATCCGTTCTCGCTCGTTTTCGGTCTGCGGACACGCAAGTACTGTCACTGTACGACTTCGAAGTTGAAGGAAAGCCAAAATTTTCTGCATATATTGCGCCGTGCGCCCGACTTAATAGACTGGACGCGCTCCGAGGGGCTCTCACGCACGTGATTACAAAATATTAATAATGGTACTAACGATGCGGATGAGAGACCACCTCAGCGGGTGAGATAAAGCCGAATCTCTAGTTTAAGGTGTAGAAATCAGCGATCTAAGTAATTAATTAATCAAATAACGAATTAATTATCTTGTCTTGGCTGCACACTGTTTCACGTAAAATTGATCATCGATTGATTAAAAACGAAATTGGAGGATGTGCTTGTGTATTTATTTATTGTTTCTTCTTCTCTACGTCATTCTCTTATTTAGTCCTTTCCGAACGTACTCGTGGAAAAAGGCTCTACAAAAGACACGAAGTAATTTCAAGAAAAACATATTTTTACGCCTTTTAAAGTCTCTGTATCATAGTTCGTGTAAGACGCCTATTAACGCTTAAATTATTCTTCATTGGTCTTGAAGGGAGAAGTGACCTTTAGAAATCTATATTGATTGCGTATAAATTATGCTGGCTTTTTTAATGAAGTATTCTTAGAAAATAAAAAATGGTGGGACGCGGCAACTACATTAATAGAATAATAATGAGATACTCGTACAGCATAATTTGCATGTGATTAAAATTGTAGTTAATACCTACAAAAAAAAATTGTAACTAAAAATTTTTACATCCGCATATTTATAATATCTGTATAATATTATAATATTATAATATAAATAATATTTTATAATATTATAATATTTTTTATATCAAATGCCTGGACAGATCTTATTTCCTCTTCTTATACCCTTTTGTTTTACACGGTTATGCAATGTTAAAAGTTACTACAAAAAATTATATATTCTGACATAACAAATCTTTTCTGAAAATTAATTTTCGTGTTGTGCGATTTGCATTTGTTTTATTCTAAAATATTATTTTATTAATGAAACGGTGAACAGCTACGACTCTGCATCTCTTTGTACATAATTTACAGCATAATGTAACCAATGTCTCCTTGGAGCAGCCACGTTGTTCCTATATTGTCGATACGTAGGGAAATCTCGCGCGGATAATTACTAATTCATTTTATTCTACCGCATCAAGCATTTTATCGCGATGATTGATACAACAAATAAAGTACTATTGTTTCTCGCGCGTCGACTATAGTAACTTTAATCCACATAGGAACTTATTAGTTTCCATAACCATAGTTTTAAAAAGTCCGAGATATTAAATAAAAAAAAAAGAAAGAAAAAGAAAAGGAAATGTTTCGTGCGGTCGAACGGGATAAATGGCCCCGGATGCATTGTGAGTACGTCTAACTTCAATGGTGCAATGTATGTGCATGTAGCGCTAAATATCTAACGCAAAAAATTGCATGCACGTGCTGCCTGATTACGCGTATTTATCGGCGCAGGATATACATAAACGTGTGGTTGAGTGTAACAAGAGAAACGTATTGATTCAATAAAGAGAAAGATCCAAGAAAAAGATTGAGTATCGACTGGTTAACCGGGATGCAAGCGCAAATGTGTAAACTAATTAGGTAGTATTCGAGTAATTATCTTGTGATACGACAGAGAAGGAAAGCAGTCGCTCTAATGCTTATTAAATTGTCATAGCCGCGCGTTACGCGATGCAAATTCGGAAAAATACAGGGAATTTAGTATGTGTGTATGTTGTTCGAGATTCTAAGCGGTACAAGCAAGAGAGGAAACAAATAAAGAAGAGACCTTCTAGCTAGGCTAGTATTGAATTGTACATAATTATTAAATATATAGCGCGATATCGATCGAGACGTTATCATTGTACGAGGCGTTAACGAAAAAAGTCCTTCCTTTTGTCGCAATCATGAATTGATAAATTACATTAATCTTAAATAAGAAACTACTCAGAATTAGAAAATATATTATGCATTCAGTTAATTTGAAGTAAGTGAAATAATTTCCGAACCGTATTTTTAGATCCGTCGGTCAGAATGTATAAAAAATTATTTATTTCTTAGACTTACAAACATACAGTCAGAAGCAACATAATTTCTTTTTCGTTATCGCCTAGTACACTATATGGATATTTAAATAAAGTATAGTGAGCATTATTATATTATTATTATTATTATCATTATCATTATTGAAATTCTTGATATTATCTTTATTATTGTATTGAGAGTGAGTCTGTTGCTTATGATTTGGTCGAGTGTTAATATTGTGTTTTATTTGTTTCGTTATTATTATTTTTTGTTGTTTACGCCGCGTGTCGTACAACACGTTCCGTACCTATGAATGATGTGCACAAATAATGCAAGATTTGCATTACTCTTTTACACGAGATCCATTGCGGGATACGTAGCCGTGCTATCTCGATGCTTATCGAAAATCGATTCAGAGTCGTTCACAGCCTGTGCCCGTAGTTTGGCGAAGTAAGAGACGGAATGGAAACTGCAAATATTTACTATTTATTCGTCAGGTGCAAAGAAATGCGTTCTCTCCAAGTTAAATTAAGCTCAAGTATTACTTTCGCGTAGCGTCACTCAAATGTTATTTCATTCCATGTAATATACGTAAAATAGCCTAACTAAAAATATTTACTTATTACATCTACGTAACCTAGAGCACCATACGTGTAAGATCCGTATAATTAAATATAATTTAAATTGTAATTATTAAATGGTATGACGTACAGAAATCATCGATGTCCATTTCTTTTCTGAAACCCGTGAGACCGGAAGAATTGATGCTCGCTATTTCGATAATGCTCATAACGCAAGGCGCATATATAAAATTATTAAGTACATAATCATTTTATAAATTAGTTAAGTATGTTAATATGCGTAACAAAGAGAATTGGACCGGCAATGTTAATTATGACGCACGATAATTATTATGTTTATAATTGCTGATATGATACTTTAACGCGTCCGCTTTATTGCTCAAACGTGAAACATGATAACGTTCATGTTGAAGAATTGCGTGATGACCACGCCGGGTTATCTACACTGCGATACAGAGATTTCTCTTTGCTAATAACACATCTCATTATTTTAATTAAGCAAACGTATTTGAGCTAAATCGTCCGCGGAAAATCAGATTATTAGTCAAATTTCAATTAACGACACTGACCTGAAATGGCATTAAATTTACATAAAATTAATTTTACATAAAATTAATTAGCCTTCCGGAGCTAATCGCGAAATTTAACCATCATCAACTTACATTCACATATACACGTTTGACCGTGGACAGTTCACATTTTCATATTTTATTCAATCTGAAAGGATCGCTGATAAGAATCGCGTATCGGCAGCAGAAAGTCGTGTGTGATAAAGCAGAGTCACACCCTCGAAAACTACCGAAGCGGACAGGAGTCATGTAACAAGAAACAAGAGAAGAGACAAGATTTAACGCAAGTCACGATCCGTCACAAGACTCACTCAAACGACTAAGATCGTCTAAGCTACCGACGATGACGATGCGAATTCGATTGGCTTCGTAGGTGCACCTTTGTTAGAGACTGCGGCAAGGTAACCGTGACTTTCGGTGTATAGTCCGTAACGGAATACTGGTATAAAGAGGCGCTATGGCGCCAGCCTACCGTAAGGTCGTGACCTCTCGATTAAATCAGACTGCTCTTCTATCGGAAAGTATAAGTACGGACTGAAATTCCTGGAGTTGAATGTACTTCGACATCGTGATAATTAACTCTCGCTCCCTATCCTTGCTCGTGCACGTAATTGCATACAGCAGCAAAATTTAACAATCGCATTAAAGCAATCTTGTCTTTACTAGATCAACGCGTGTACTGTTTCGCACTGAGATCGCGGAGTCGTTAGTGTTAAGAAAATTGCAAGAAAATGCGATTTTCTCGAATAAGCTATTAAGCTCTGTATGAAATGGCAAGGGGAAAGCACAGGAAAGTTTTCAGACAAGGCTCTCTCGTCAGTCTATCAGAGACGAGAAAGATCCCCACGACGAGCATCAGCTTTCGCGCGAACACCGTAGGTATATAATACCTCTCGCCTGCCGTCAGTCACTCAGTCAGTCATTGATACCACGGAGTGATTAATGAAGAGTCAAGGTTCGGGATCACAGTACCGTGTGGCGAGTGGAGGGGGACCGCGGAGCCCCGAGCACGACATCGCGAAGAATGTCGATACCACGCGGCTCCGAGAAATGAGTGCGCGTAGGTCGTCTATTGTGAAATTAAGTCTTGTTCAAGGTGTGGGATTTATCGAGCAATCATGTCGGGTGTAATTCGACATGGAAACGTTTAGTAACGAAAGACGGAGTCAGAAAGGGTCATAAAAAAACCTTTATTGCTTATAAATTTCCGTCTGTAAAAACGACCGACTTTGTCATCGAAGGATCTTTCACCTTTGCGTTGTCGATTCTGTTAAAATGTATTTTGAGAGCACTTTTTCGTTTGACGTCTTTATGATATATCCCCTCTCAAGTCGTTCGATTTAAGGAAATAAGAAAATATATCAACTGTTGAGGAAATTATTTTGAAAATACGTCGACGGAAGCAAGTAAGCGGTGAGCTATCTGCGTACGGATAAGACTCCTCTTCTACGTCCTGGCTGTCTGACAGGCAGGACAGAAACCCAGAGCGCAAACTTGAAACAGGCCGTTCACGTTTATCCATCTGTGCTCACGTTCGTTCGTTCCGTCTGTTCGTTCGTCCGTCCATCGATGTCCGAGTTGTCGATACCCGCCCTGTCCACAAACGGACCAGAGCAAGACTTCAGCACTTTTATGTACGGAGTCTGAATAACAAATCTGTCCAATTCACATGTCGACATCAAAGAAGATAATATAAACACTACATCGATACATCGTCTACAAAACCTTAATGTTTTATTAATGCGACTACCATTCCCGTCCCGTATCCACCAAGTACGTTCCATCCCATCCCCAGTTAGGCTCGGTGGAACCTCCGAAGACCTCCGCACTCGTGGGCAAGAAGAGAGCTATTCGAAGAGTGCAGAGTATCGCGCTAGTGGAACACCCCGAGCCTCGGGACCGCTGTCTTTGCGTTTTATACGTTTTGCTTTCGCTGTCTGTTCGTGACCGCCCGAAATGTTTGGTCGGCTATCGCGCTGCGATATCAAGATTCTCATCTTGACACCCAGTACATTCTCTGATATTGGCATAACGGCAAATATGAGACAAAAGGAATAAATATTGAGTTGTGACTATCGAATTTAAATAAATTTTTTGATTGTTATGAGTTAAGAAGAATAGTAATTTCGAATATTTTATTTATCAGTGTCAATAGTAGTGTATATCAAGCTAAAATATTAATAAGATAAGAGATTTAAAAAAATAGAAGAGATTATTAATCATATACTAATTTATGTAAATTATTCGAATCGGATCAACTGCTAGATCTTAGATCTTATTGACTTGATAACTAAATGAGACCATTACTAATACATATTATATTTATTATACCTGTTTAATATTTCAAATAGCTTTCTTTTAAAATATCAGAAGACTATACGCGCAGCCTGTTCGAGTCTTGACGCCCGTCATGGTATCCCGTGAAATATTTCGCACTTCGGAAGTGTATGGAGTAGTATCCGGCATGGCTTTACTTGAAACAAGTAAGCAAGCGTTACGGACGAAATGTGTATAAGCGCAGCTCCGTGTAATAGTATGCAGGAATGCAGGGAAGGTAGCGAAGACAGGGTGTAGGTGCTTGCTG